AAATATTCTGAAAATAATATGATTTGACCGAATGCCGAGCTAAAAACTGACCACTTACTAAATATTCGATTCATCAAATTTGCTAGTAATATATCAATATAAAAATGTTCATTTTTGTTATTTTTCTATAAGTACAAGTAAAACATTATCCCCCAACAAAATTAAAAAAATATCGTGATTTGATCGATCACCAATCTGAAACCGAAATACTGCATTGCTGGCATTATCCATGGGAAATTCTGTATTTTTTGGTTATACGTGTACATTTAGGTGTTAAGCATTATACTAACAAATATTTTGAAAATATTTTGATTTGATAGAATGTCGAGCTCAAGACCGACCATTTACTAAATATTCTATTGACCAAAATTAGTAATATCAATTGAGGTCTCATAATATTTTCAAAATATATTTTATAATAGTGCTCACCTCATAAATGTACACGTAAAAACCAAAAATAAAGAATTTTCCATATAACGCATTGCAATGCAGTATTTCGTCATTGAGTCAGTTTCAAAAGGGTTATCGGTCAAATCATGATATTTTTAAAATATTTTTTGGGATAATGTTTTACACGTATAGATATATAAAACAAAAATAAACATTTTTCAATGAATATTACTAGCAAATTTGGTCACTCGAATATTTAGTAAGTGATCGGGTTTGAGCTCGACATTCCGTCAAATAATAATATTTTCAAAATATTTTTTAAAATAATGCTTAACACCTAAATATACATGTACAAAAATAAAGAATTTTCCATGGATAACGCCAACAATGCAGTATTTAAACATTGGGCTAATTTTAATGTATTTATAGATATATCAGAGACCTGCAGGCCAAGCCCTAAGCCCGGCCTTATTTTAATATTTTTAAATATACCCGGGCCGGGCCGTATATTTTAAAACCAAATATTTGAAATCGCCATTATTTGCTATAAAAATCAAAAATAAATAAAATATATTTTAAAAAAAATCGGGGGCCGTGCCTGAAAATTTTTTTAAAAAAAAACCCCGGGCCGGGCCAAAAATAATTTTTGAAAAATCCGGGCCGAAAAAAAATTTAAAGAAAAATTCGGGACGGGCTGTACAAATGGTACCTCTGCAGGTCTCTGAGATATATTTTGACCTCAATTGATATTACTAGCAAATTTGTTCTATCGAATATTTAGTAAGTGGTCGGTTTGAGCTCGGCATTTAGTCAAATCATAATATTTTCAAAATATATGTTAGAACACCTAAATGTACACATATAAACCAAAAATGAAGAGATTTTGATCAATAACGCTAGCAATATGTTCCTTACAAGTTTTCTACTATTCGATTCTAAACCTACACATAAATTAAATGTCTAAGAAATTAAATTTTTTTTAGGTTTATAAAAAGTGCTAACCAATAATCATTCTGGTTTCTTAAGATGATATTTTCATTAATACATTTAAAGCCCTTTATGGATATATATATTTGTTAAATTTTAAGATTGAAAAATAAAATTGAGTTGTAATAAGCTAGTAAATATATTTTTTCCATTAATATTAAGTAAAAATGAATTATAAATTATTTCATATTTAATCTCAATTTAAAAAAATTGAATGTATTTTAAAAAAAATGTTTGAAAATTATATTAAAAAAAAGACTATATTATATAATTTTGATTGATTATGATTAATTACTTTTTAGCAACGCATTTTAGCAATGCAGTATTTAGTCATACCGGCTAATTATTGGGTTAGCTGTTTTAGAAATCGAATCCTTTAACAGCATATAATAGGCGTTTATTATACCAAAAAAATAATTTCAGGATTGACACAACAGGACATCATTTATTATAATAAAATTTAGCAATTAATTAAAACTAATGTGCAAAATACAGTAAAATGAGGTGTTTTTTGAAAATAAAAACTTAATTTATTTAAAATAAAAGTAAAAAATAAATAGAAATTTAATCATATTTACAGGGTTTCTCATTCAAAAAGGAAAAGTTTCAATGGTGAATCATAAAAGGAAAGATTCAATCAAAAAATGAAAAGGCCCGATCAAAAAAGGAAAATTGTCAATCAAAAAAGGAAAATTCCCAAAAGGAAAGGACAGTGTCAATCAGAAAAGGAAAATTCCCATTCAAAAAAGGAAAATCATTATTAAATATTTTTGTCAATTTTCCTTTATTTTTTTATTCCTTCTTATTTTATTTCTAACTTTTTGCTATTTCTATACCTTATTTTTCTTACTATCTTTTCTCAATTTATTTTTCTTCTCATTTTTATAATTCTTTTATCTTTTTAAAAACAAATTATAAATTTTCCCTGTTATTTTTCTTCCCTTCTCTACACCATTTTTAGAAATCTTTCTTTTTTTTTCATCATACAACAATATTTTGACTTTTTATGATTTTTTCTCCTTATATTGTTATCTTTTACATACATTTCTAACCTTTTCAATCTCTAAGTCATTTCTAATCTTTATTTAACTGATCTTTTCCTTCTTATTTTTGATAATTCTTTTTTGTAATTCTTTTTAATTTTTATTTCTTAATGGCAGACAATAAAATTTTAAAAATAAGAATTTAGAAATGATTATATTTTATTAATTTACATATCGTTTGGTATTACAGTTCAAACTTATTTAATTTTAAAAAGATACATTATAACCAAACGATGAATTTAATTCAGCAATTGTAATTAAATATTATGATATGAAAAATAAAAAAATTGTCAGCCATTGAGTAATAAAAATTAAGTGACAATTAAAAATAATTACAAATTATCAAAAATGAGAATAAATAAAGATTGAGCAAAGATCAGAAAAATAAAGAATAAAAATGACTTAAATGATTGATAAAGTTAGAAATGTATGTAAAAGATAACATTATAAGGAGAAATATATCATGAAAAGTCAAAATATTGTTATGTATGGTGAAAAAAAAGAAAGAATTGTTAAAAAAAATGGTGTATAGAAGTGAAAAAAAATAACAGGGAAAATTTATAAATTATTTTTAAAAAGACAAAAGAATTATTAAAAATGAATAAAAAAAATAAATTGAGAAAAGATTAAGAAAAATAAATCACAAAAAGTTAGAAATAAAATAAGAAGGAATAATAAAATAAATAAAAATTTAAGAAAATTGACAAGAAATTTTTTTTAAAAAATAACGATTTTCCTTATTTGATTGACACATTCCCTTTCCTTTGGGGAATTTTCCTTTTTTGATTGACACTTTTCCTTTTTTGATTGAACCTTTTTCTTTTATGTTTGACATTTTTCCTTTTTTGATTGGGATTTTTCCTTTTATGATTGGGACTTTTCCTTTTTGATTGGGACTTTTCCTTTTTTGAATGGGAAACTCGGTATATTCCATTTATTATTGCCAATGAATTTTTTGAACGCCTTCATAAACAAGTTCGTTGTTTTGTAAAAAATGATGAACGTTCCTTTTATTTTTGACTAACATTTTGAAAATAAATAATATTAACTTAATATTATTCCAAATTTTTTAAGAAAAAATTTTTAATCGGTTGTTTTCTCGCATTTGATTTTTTTTAACCAGCCTCTATTTATGTCCCATAATATAGTTTATTAATTGAATATTATTATTAATAGATTATGAATGTTGTTATTTTATCATAATTATCTGATTCTAAAATTCAGAATCAAATGAATTAAGATTACCATGGCTTAAATATAATAAATACTTTATAGTAATATCATATATTCAATAAACTAATTCGATTCTTACCAAATGTAAAATGTGTCCTAAAAGTATAAAATCATTACTTTATTATAATATTTATTATTTTAAGTATCCTGTTTAATTTATTCTATATTGTTGTATTTCTTATGCTTATTAAATTATTATGATTATTATAATAGATAGTAAAAATCATAAAATATTGATATTTTACAGGATAAAAAATTTATTTTTTTAAAATACCCTGGCCGTCTCAGGCCTAAAATTTTTTTAAAAAAAATCCGGACAGGGCCATCCAAATGGTACCTCTGTAGGTCTCTAATATATAAAATGTTAATATCTCTTTTATTTATTTTTAGTATGATTACCAAGGGTTTTATATTTAAACAGCATAATTTAACGTTATGATAAATATATTATTAAATAATTAAATTATATATTATATATATAAAAGTTTTTATATATTAAAAATTAATAGTAACTTTTTTTTTAATAATAAAAATATTTTTTTATTGACTTAAAATAAAACTATTAATTTTAAATATGGCTAATATATTGTGTTAAAAAATATACGGTATTTATTTGTAAAGTTTTGAACGAACCTGAACACGCTCCTTTTTTTTTGGGCCAATTCAATTTTTCAGAAATGTTTGCAGCATTATTGCAAAATATACAACAAACTAATCATTTGCGTGAACCCATCTTATCTCGATACCCGAGTGAGCCAGAGACCGGCTGTGATCGAAATTTTAGGCTGGCTTGTCTGATTTGAAAAAAAGTTATTTTTAAGCTATGTCCGGGATTTTTAAGAAATATTTTGGCACAGCTCGGATTTTTATTTTTGATCTTTTTTGCCTGTTTCATTGGGAAAATTGAATATATGCAGTAAATGAATATTAAACGCTTCATTATATATTTTTCCAATTGATTAATTGATATAATTTAAATTTATTATTTAAAAATTGGTCTGGCCTTATTTTAAAAATGATTATATTTTTTGACCTTTTAACTTAGTTTTTTTTCAAAAATTTTTCGTTAAATTGATATATAAGTTTGATTTTCTGTTTTTTCTATGATTGAAAAGACAAATATTTTTGTTTTTTTACATCCTTATTCTAATAAAAAGTTATTTTCAGGTTTAGGTAAATTGCAGTTGCCAGTGATATCATAAAAAAGGACAGAACACTAGTTGACTCTAAATTGACAATTAATTTGGGTTTAAATTCATATCGACAAATTCTTTTATAAAAAAAAGAATTATTTTCAAAACAATAGTTCATATATCCACCCTAAACTCATAATCTAATAAAAAATAGTATATTGTCTAAGCGGAGCGTATCCAAGGAATTTACTAACATCATAGATTTCTGCAATGAAATGAGACTCAAGTCGAATTCGCCCCACCTTCTGGCTTTTATGCTCTACTATTACGAAGATCAAATAACCAAGTCTATTGGCCCAAATACTTCGATCAATACCTCTATCATATCGGATAAGGCCGACATTATGAAGCATATTCTAAATGTAATTTATATGCTATAAGTTCTTTTGCAATAAAATTGATTTTAGATGCGCGTAAATGAATGCTAGGGCTGCACTTATATTATTTATTGATTTGCCCTCGCAATATATAAAAAAATAGCCATAATAAGCTGATTTGTTAAATTTTTAGCCTATGAAATTTTTTAAAAGGATTGATATTAAATACACTAGATTTCATTGTTATAGTGGGATATACATATATTGTTGTTTTGTAATAATGATTTTTTTTGGAATTATTTTATTTTTATAATATTGTATTAATTATTTTATAAAAAAGAAAGATGAAAGAAAAAGGGGGAATCAACTTTTATCACCTTATTGATATAATAGCGAATAAGACACAGGATACGGGGTTTTTTCTTATTTCTTTTATTGTATTTAAATTTTAATCCAATCAAATATTTTTTAAATAAAGAAATAAAAAGCGCAATTTTTTTAAAATTGAAGAGAAAAAAATATATTCCCCCTTTTTTTTCATCTTTGTTTTTTATAAATAATAAATACATTAATATACATATAAAATATTCCCCCAAAAAATCAATACATAATTACAAAACACCAATATATGTATATTCCACTATAACACCTCTTTCCCTGAGATTCCCTTTACAATTTAATTTCCACATATAAAAAAAACTAAAATTTTAGTGTGACGAATATATTAAAAACTACAAACTGGATTAAAATATGAGTCAATTAATATAAAAACTACAATTTAAATATGACGAATATATTAAAAACTACAAATGGATTAAAATATGAGACCTAAACTCACTCTCCCGGGCTGCTCAACAACATTTCCTCCATTTGGCTTTGTATCTCCTCCTTCATTGGCGAATTCCCATCGTCTATGCCTATCATCACACCAGGTGCCAAACGGGTCAACCCTGATCTTGGGTATTACCCCCGTTCCGGAGATTGTCTTCCCTGTTTTTAGATTGCTGTTTCTGTTTCATGGAATTTGTTGTTCTCGTGTTCGGATTGTTATCCTCGGTATTGTTGCCCCAGCTCCGGAGATTTTCTTCCCTGTTGTAAAGATTGCTGTTCCTATCATGGAATCTCGTTGAGACCCTTTTTGTATCAGTCCTTTCAACATTTCCCCTTCTCTATACCTCACCGAAATTGTCATAATCCTTCTTGGTGGACCACTAGACTGCCATCTTTCTTGACTATTTAAGACGCACATTTGAGTACCATGACCATTAGAAATCCCATGTTGCGGAATACTTGCACCACTTGGGCATTCAACGGCTTTATGCCATCGACCCCTACATTTAAAACAGGATAAATTTAATCCACAAGTATTATGACAATTTCAAGGCCGATGGGAAGGGGCTTGTTTTTATTTTTAACAATGGCATCCATGATAGATAAGCGTATCTGTAAGTGTATCATGTACACATTAGATATCTTGAGAAAATTGTAATGGGTGTTTTTACAATATTGAATTGCGATAAAAAATAGGATTATAATAAAAAAAAATTATTACAATTATTTCTTAAAGATAGCGCTCTCTATATTTAGTTTTTTTATTCCCAAAATTATGAAAAACGAAATAATATTTGAATTCTTATTTATTCTATAATAATTCTTACCTAGATATTTATAACCTCTTGAGAGTTACATCGTCTTTTAGTGAGGCCTTCTTAAAATAACATATTTTTATATTATCGGGAATACAAACTGTCAAATTTTTTAAAAATATTTCTATATTTTATTTTAGAGAATTTTAAGGGCTGCAAAATGATATATAATTTATACATTTGGATCAAATATTTATTAAGTAATTTAAAAATTTTGAAAATGAAATCGCACCTGTACTCAGGGACGAGAACCCAAACCCTGAACCCTCAATATTTTGCTGAACATAACCCTAAACCCAAACCCTTTTTTAAAATTTAGGGTTCTCAGGGTTCAAGCTTTTTTTTTAATTTAAAAAAATTTATATATTAATTTTAAAAAAACATTTTTTGATCATTTTTTCGTGTTTTTGTTATATTTAGTAATTTTTTAAATTATATTGTAGTATATGGTGATACTAATTAAAATAAATTTAAAAAAAAATGATGTTTCTGTTATTTTAACTAATTTTAATAAGTCATTATTTTTCTGGTCTTCGAACCCTAAACCCACTTGAACCCGAACCGGGTTCAGAGATTTTTCACTGAACCCAAACCCGAACCCATTTTTTTTAGAAGGAGGGTTCTCGTCCCTGCTTGTACTAGACTGAGGGTTCATAACTCTAGATCCATTTGAGCTAGAGCTTTAAAATTTTGATTTATATAAATTTTTAATATATAGGACAAACGCAAGAACGCACCAAGTTTTATTAATTTTAAAAATGGCTGTCAGATCGATGATCGATTTGACAGAGAATCATCCAAATCCTATATTAATAGGTTATGTTTAGAATTAGTTTTTATACATTTGATGATTTAGGTTTGAAAAAAATCAATTTTATTTCAACTTTTTTAATCAGATGTTAATGGAATCTAAATTATTAATAAGAGGAGAAATTTCATCCTTCACATTTTTATAATGCTCTTACATGATTCAAGCAGTTTTTTCACTATCTTGTTACTATACCCATATTGTTCTTAAATGAACCCTTTCGGGGGAATTTTTTGTTAACTTGAACATCAAGTTCATTCGAGTCATTATATGCTAAATTTTTATATAATCATTTATCACAAAATTTAGTGACCTGCAGGCCCGGCCCTAAGCCCTTTTAATTTTTTAAATATATCCGGGCCAGGCCTAAAATGATTATTTTTTAAATACCTGGGCCGTGCCTAAAATTTTTTTAAAAAATAATCCAGGCCTGGTCTGCGCCTGAAAATAATAAAACCAAAACAGGCTGAAATTTTTTTAAAAAAAAAAATCCGGACCCGAGCTCTGCAGGTCTCTGATATTTTGATTTAGTAATTTATACCTTTATTGTAAGGTAATAATATAAAATGTTCCAAAATGGTGAGAGGAAACTGAAAATAAACAACATGATTCATGAATATTTATCTTCATTTTCTATTACAAATACTAATAATTATAAAAATTCGATGACTGTGGGTTAATTGCCACTATTATGAGCAAGTTTTACTTCTTTTTAATTAGGATAAAATGATGGCAGATTTTAAGGAATCTCGTTTGCAAAAAATAACTTATAAATATATAACATATTAAACATAATCTATCCCCATTTTTTTCATATGTATAATAAATTTTAAAATAAATATATTTTAGCGTTTCAGACACAACTTTGAATCATTTTTTGAGTGTTTTTTAAATTTAAAGTATCGGAAATGTATTCCGGCATGTTTAGAATACTTATCTTATGAATTGTAAACTATTTAGCCGTTAACCATTGGGCTATTTGTGTTATTCCATGACAAATCGACCAGTGATTAGGCCGACCATTTCAAAAATGAATGAAACTTGGCATAATAAAATCCAAATTTTAGATCGCCAGCTCAACCAAATTTAAAGATATACACTTTCAAAGTCGAAAATCGCATAATGCGTGATTTCATTAAATCTTGTTTATTAAAACAATATTCAAAATTAATAGATGAGTTATTTTCCTGCAAATCGTCAATGCCTTGATTTGATAAAAACTCGAGATATAAAAATTTTGGTGAGATTTATTAAAAAATTTAACTATTATGATTAAACTTTACTTTTCTTAGCAGCCGGAAATTAACATGTTTACAATATGTATTTTATCTATTTGCTTTAAAAATTCAAAAATAAATGACAATTGTCACTTTTCTATGTTACATCTTCACTGAAATTTTAATTTAACATGTTTACAAAACATATGTTTACCTATTTACTTTAAAAAGCTCAAATTATTTCAAAAATAAGAATTATGACAATTGTCACTTTTCTATGGTACATCTTCACTTAAATTTTAATTTAACATGTTTTTGCCTATTTACTTTAAAAAACTTAAAAAAGTTTAAAAATAACGATGATAACAATTGTCTTTCTATAGTACACTTCATTGAAATTTTAATTTAACAAGTTTACAATATGTATTTTTACCTATTTACTTTAAAAAAATTCAAAAATGTTCAAAAATAACGATTATGACAATTGTCACTTTTCTATATTACATTTTCACTGAAATTTTAATTTAACATGTTTATGCAACATATTTTTACATATTTACTTTAAAAAAGTTCAAAAATAATGATTATGACAATTGTCACTTTTCTATAGTATATCTTCACTGAAAAAATAAATATATAAAAAATCATTTAAAAAATTTAAAAATATTAACGATCAAAAGATAGTAAAAAATAAATGTAGAAAACATTAAAAAAATCTATATTTAAAAATGATCAAAAGATAGTAAGAAATATATATAGAAAAAATCATTTAAAAAAATCATATAACACAAAAAATCTCAAAAAAATATATTAAAAAATAATTTAACAATATAAAATTAATTATATCAATAAAATAATACATCAAAATAAATCTCAAAAAAATATAATTAAAATATAATATAAGATAAATAAACTTTAACCGTCCAATATTTAAAAAAATACTATAAGATCAAAAAACCTTAACAATCATAAAAATATTATTTATAAAATATATCTAACAAAATTTATTAATTATAAAAATAATTAATATCAAATAAATAATAAATTTATAATTTGTAAAATAGAATACATTGCCTAAAATTCATCCTGCCTACCACATTGACGCTAACATATATATTCAAATATCATTATTATTTTCTTATTTTAATGATATTGAGAATTTTTCTAACTTTAGTATACTTCCTTGTCTTCCATAATTTTTATTGTTGCAGCCTCTTTCGCCATTTCTACTTAAATTTACATTAATGGCCAATTCCAATAAAATCAACATGAGTTCAACCCGACTCTCAGAATTTTCTAAAATTTTTATTGGAGTTTGAATATATTATAAAAGATAATATTAGAATCTTGAGTCTTAGAATCTTAAGATTCTTTTTCGCCTCCAACTCCAAACAGCGGCTGAGATACGTGCCTCTAAAGGTCGAAAAAATGAAGCATTTTGGGTAAGATGCTCTCCGGGCAAAATGCTTTCCCTTAAATTTTGGATATGATTGAGCTAGAAGCGTCATCATAAGCAGAATATGGAAATCCGTTAAAAAACTAATGGGCGTAATTGAACAACAATATAGGTACAATGCAGGTCAACGTCAATTATATAGGTCAAACCCAATTATAAGAAGCGTTTGTAGACAGCAATAAAATTTCATTTGTAGGAAGAACATGGCTAAAATCTTTTGGGAACATTTTAAAAAAAATTATGAATATGATAAACTTAGACCATAATGACGGCCTAAAAAAGTTAATAAAAGATTATGAATTAAAAATAAAGAATAAACCTATCTTGAGATCAAATATAATATTACACTTAAAACATGATGTTAAACCTAAGATAATACCACCTAAAAGAATACCCTACACAGGAATCGATAATTACTCCTGCTTACGAAGTGATAGCATTGCGCCAAATTCAAAGACATGATTATCCGATACCACGTATGAGCAATTTAATTGCTAAAATTATCAAAGGGAAGAAATTCACCAAAATCAAGTTGTGACTTCTTACCACCGATACACAAAAACTCAAGAGACATTCTCACTATTTCGACACACCAAGGCTATTACAGATTCACAAGATTACCATTTAGTTTAAAACAGGATCAGATATATTTCAACAGACTATGGAACAAATTTTTGATGACATAAACGATGTCATAATTTACATCGATGACCTGCTTATAACTGGAGATAACGACGACGAGGAGGCACATTTGGATAATATAAAAAAATCTTTGAAAAAATTACTAAATAGGGTCTTTATACTCAATTTTTCAAAAAGTATATTTTAAGAGTGAAATTCGTTTAAAATAAACGCAATCATGTACATAAGAAATTATTTTATCTTGGAACAATTGGCACTAATATCTACCTTCCTTTGTCTCAATATCGAAATGTAAACCAATATTAACTGATGATTATCGAAAGACTAATACAAGATATATTTTTAAAACTATATATAAAAATAGGCATGTGTTTAAACAGTTATATGTTTTACACGGCCCTAACAATTGGAGTGTCAACAAGCTTTATGTACCGTTTATAATCATAACACTCAAAAGGATAGAGCATGAGTATATGTATCGATATAAGATAATCGAAAATAAAATTTAATTCTAATGCTTATGATCGATAATTTTATAACAAATTTTATCAATCACTTATAGATTGTATCATACTTATTCATAATATTATTCTAAAATTCAATTTTCAAATAATTTGCTGCCTTCACTTCCCTCCAAGTGAAAGGCTCTACCAACCGCTCTGGTTACTTGCAACACCTCGAAGTTACATTATGTATCTGAAGAGATAAAATAACTTATAAAATTAAATTTATAAAAAAAGGTTTCTATTCGTTATTAAGATAGTTGTTTTAAAATGATAATAGAAAACTTATTTATTATAAAGAAATTCGAAAAAATATCAGTTACGAGGTCTTGCAGTATGGCCAGCTATAATAGAGTTTATCTCATGGACTAGGTTTAATCTAGTTAGAGATAAGATAGATATATTTACAATTATCGGTAAAAGAGAGTAAATAACAATTAGTTATTAAAATGAAACGATCATTTTAATGTCAAGTATATTATTATATTGCAAAAAATTCTTAAATTTTTTATGATTATGAAGTAAGCATCTAATCGAATTAGATTATTTTTTAAACTCTGAAAGAAATCCTTCGATATTAGCCTATACTGGTGATATGTATCATAAGAGAATGTACTGGGCGATTCGATTTATTTTTGATATTGGTGCAGCTCTTGCGTTATATAATTAACATCGTAAAGTAAGCAATCAATTCCATATAACTTTTAAGAAAATCAAAATTTCATTTTAAAAAAAAATCTATAAATATTTACAAATATTAGTTGCATAATATCTAACATTAATTATCCTAGCTATTATATATTTTTTTAACAATTTAAAATAATAAATATAGTTATGCCAAAAATTGGCGGACGAATACGATGTAATTAGAAAAAACTATTGGAATTATATGGCTCAAGAAATTCGGCTAAAATATAATTAAGAATTATAATAATATATAGATTTGACTATACGCGTTTATATTTGTTTATTTGAAGAACATATTTTTTTATAAATTAATTTTGGTTTCAACTGGTCTTATTTGCTTAGTTATTTTGATGTTTATAAAGGCAAGCAAATTTCTACAAAATGGATTTCTTATATGTTAATCATTTATAAAAATCATTGTTTTGCAAATTATTTATCATACCTCTCCCCCTTCCAAATAAAACCCGAAAATTGTATAAATAACAACACTTGAAGCCATAATTTACAATGAAATCAAAAATATCAACGCCATCTAAAATATTTTAATTTACAAGATAAAAATTTTTTTAGAAAAATTTACCAAGAAGAAAACAATAGTAAAGTAATTAATTACCTGAAAAGGCAACTAATTTGCCTGTTAAAAATAATAGGTTGGTTTTTAAATAATTTGATTATGTTAATTATTTTTGTTGGACATTTATAATATAAATAAGAGTTTTATATCCGTGAAAAATTTTATTAGGGTGGGCGCCCTTATCCGGGTTAGCATACCGAATTAGAGTTGGACAAGGTCGATGGTAACATTTGTACAATATAGGCTGGCCCCCTGAAATCTTATAGTTCTCCCCTCCTTTTTTGTCAATTATTTCATTAAGTAACGCCATAAACAATATCATTGAAAAAGCTTTTAAAATATCCCATATTCCTTAGATAAATTCTTTGTAAAACGCCGGATGGGTTGACTCTGATACCTTGAAATAAAGGACTTTTTCTTCTTGGGATTATACATGAAAATTTTATTTTTCTAGCTGAAAACAGGAAAAAATATAAATCATTGCTAAACATGTTCACTTTGTTTCCATGATCGCCACGACACTTGGCAATTGCGGACATGAAGCTCTCACCTCTTTAAAATCTATAGGGAAAAATTTTTCAGTTCTCTGGCGATCTTAAAGAATACTTACATATGGGCCAGAATATTTACTTAAAAAATTGTTAATCAAATTTTTATCAATCCACGATTCTATGCAATTTTCATAGAAATTTTTTAAAATTTTAATACATCTTATTTTTTTATATAGTTTTTAAATTTTATTTTAATAAAGTTTTTATATAAAAAAAATTTTAAAAATATAAAAACTATATAAAAAAAATATATACATAAATTGATAAAAATCAAACATATAATAATATAAAAATAACCAAAAGAGTCATAGTTATATTTGAACATATCAATTTGCATTTTTTGCCTAGAAAGAGAAATCCTCTTGATTCATTATTAAATGCCTATATTTGAGCTTAAAAGTTTTAAAAATTTGTATGTTAAGGGAGAAAAATGCCTGTTTGTGATAATATGTTTGGAGTGAAGACATAGTTTGATAATTTTAAATATTTTTTCACTAGAATTTTTGTCTGATGGGAAAGAGGAGACACAAGTCAAGTCCCATATAAGATGTGCCTGACTCACATGGGATTGTAAACATCCGTCTCAGACTATCCTCTGTTCCTATGTGGGCTGTTACAAAAATGTCATTTCACTTTGATTCCAAAATCAAATTACACCATCAGAAAAAAAACATTTTTGATAAAATTTTGATTTAACCAATTAATGGTCAACGTACCATATCTGCAACAGTTATTTATTGATTTTTCACATATAAATTTTTTGAATTAAAATAATTTCACATATGATTCTTATAGCTCGAAGATTGTACGAAAAACCTTTTTTTAAAAAATTTATTTTTGAGTGCGCTTGATGACATTGAAGTTCGACAATTTTGGACTACTAAAATGCCATATGTTCCTCCCTCGTTGTAAGAGTCTTTATTCCTTTTAAATACAATTGACATAAATTTATTCCTTATAGATGCCTTAACCTATTCTAATTAATGTTGGCCCATCATCATATGTTTCTTACTGTACCATTTATCCAACTTTGCCACATAAAGGTTCAAAAAAAGTAATATTTTTTGGCATATTATTATAAATTTTTTTTATATTCTTACTAAACATAAATACTATATTTCCATATTAATATTTATAAAAAAAAATTATTGAAAATTCACGATTTTATTGTAATTCTCATATTTTTTCATTTTCCAAATTTTTAAATAATATTAGAATATTATTATGACAAAACAATTTCTACAGTTGATAAAGCTCTATCCATGCTTTTCGATGAAGGCCCTGGGAATGAAACAGATGGTTGCAATTATACCTCCTAATGCTGCTTTAATTAGGAAGAAGATTTCGATGAACGATCTAACCGATACACCTAATTTTCCTCTAGATACTGCAGGGGAGATCGAAATCTATAATCTAGCAGACATTGATATTGTCTCGGAATCCTCAATATCTACAAATTAAATTTTCGAAATAATTTTAAATGGAAAAAATTGATCCAATTTACACATCTTGACCTACTGATAATGATAAGGTGTTATCGAATTTCCAATTTGATCGAAAAACTTCAATAGAAATATTTTTAATTAATGTAGATCAATCATATATTTATTCCAAACAAAACAATAGACCAAATTTTATCACAACCTAGTCAGAGATGAAAAAATTTATAGGAATTCTTTCGCTAACTATATCATTCCTACCACAAAAAGGAATGTATCAGTGGAATGACAATGATATTATTATACCAATCATTAGGAATTCAATTTCACAGCATACATTTCGCGATATCAAAAGGAATCTACATTTATGTAGTAACTCAACTTTTGATGAAAAGGATAATCTTTATCAACAATTCGGTATATTTTCACATAATTTATACACAGATAAGCAAATGATACCGATCGAGGAATACATTCCTATAAAATGTTTATCAAAGGTAAACCAATTCGATTTGGATATAAATTATGGACCTATGCTTCCTTCAATGGATATAAATTATGGATCTTTGCTTCCTCCAATGGATATATTTTCAGTTAATATATATTAAGGTGAAAATAAAAGCCCAATAGCTTCTAATCTTGGATTAGGAGGTACGGTTGTTACAATTTTACTCAAAGTTATCCAGGTACCTTCTTTGCATTCTATTTACTTCTATATTTTTTTACATCTCTAAGGCTTTTATCACATTTGAAGCATCTTGGATTTTTCGCAACTGGGACATTAAGAGAAAATTCTCCCCTAGAAACTATTAAAATTATGGCAAAAAAAAGAAAGGGGCTATTACGACTACCGATTTGAAAAGTCATATGAAATATTTGTAGTTCGATGTAATGATAGTTCAATGGTGACAGTTCCAACAACATGTAAAGCTCCTAGCCATCTATGCAACGTTTTAAGATTTTCGCAAAAATAAAAATTACACAACCAAATCTTCATATAATTCCAATATGGATGGCGTTGATCTGTGGTATAACCTAGTGTCAACATATAGAATGAATATACGAGGTAAAAAATGGCGTGGTCTATTTTTAGCAATTTATTGACATACCTAGAGTATCAACCGTAATTGCTACCAAGTCCATTATAGATTGGTCGACATTGTGCTTGAACGGCCCACGAGGTCACCGTTATCCTGAGCTGGCCAAGAGAGTGATGTCATCCTTGGATGGCCCATGAGATCACTATTATTTTAGAGCTGGCCAATAGATCGCTATCATCCTTGGATGGCCTATGAGATCATATCCCTACATCGAACAAGAAGTGACTATTAGTTCTTTAACCCATATACGGCTACAACTGGCTCACGGAAGCATAGAGGTCTGCATTGGGCCGGTTTTTGGACCAAAAGCCGGCCCATCCAATGTTTAAAAAAAATTTAACCCGCCCATAGTTTTCAAAAAAATATATATCCACACGCCCCCCCCCCATTTGTCTAAAATTCTTTACCCGCCCGCCCATTTATAAAATTTTTTTTAACCCAAGACCGCTTATAAAATTTAATTATGGTCATTCTTTCATTTTTTTTGAGCATCTAATAAAAATATTTCAGCATTACACCTACAAAAAGTTTATAATTTAGGAAATTAATATTAAGTATAAAAATAATCAATGTAAATTATGGACAATTTATTTAATCAAATTGAATATTTATGAAAAAAATATAAATGTAAAATTAATATTATATATAATTATAATGCAAAAATAATAATGAATCGACATTTTCTGGATTCAAACACGTTCTTCTTTGTTCTAAAAATCTTCTAGCAATGCTAAATCCGCGTTCGGAAGAAGCACTAGAAAAGTTTTATTACATTCCCATAAAAGGAAATTTTTAATAGACAAAAATGTTTATTTATTCTAAGAAAAAAGTTTTATTGTTGTGTTTATTACATAATATGGTTAATGTTCTTCACTTAAAAAAAAACGATTGGTACAATAAAAAAAGAAATATTGTTATAGATCATTTAAACAATTATTTTTTTTAGTTTGTTTTTGAACAAAAATTTTAAATTTCCTTAACCCGCCAGCCCTTTGTTTAAATTTCTTAACTCGCTCACCCAGCCCGCCCATAATTTCAATTTTTTAACCCGCCCGCCTGCCTGCCTGCCCATTCTCGAAAATATTTTTACCCACCCTTCGCCCGCCCATTGCAGACCTATACGGAAGCCACATTAATTTTCATAGGTCACGTGATTTGAGAGCCCAACGTCCTTAAATCTTTATGTTTTAATTAGCCATGTATCTTTATCAGTATCCATAGCCAGGTTCTTTTATCAGTAACCTTTTTCTCAAAATCCAAAGCCAGGTTCTTTTATCAGTTATCTTTTTTTCCAATATTTTATCATTAATAATCCCATGTTTTCCCATATAATTGTTCCAATAATGTTCATCACTAAGAATAATCGATTTCCACCAATCACCACATTTCCATAAGCAGAGTTGTTAAGGAGCGGCGTTACACTTTTTAAAAAATACCTGGAGCTGCACCTCCTTTTAAAAATCAGGATCAGGAGCTAGCTCCTTTTAGGGCTGGGCTCCACCGCTCTTTTAAATTTAATGTATAAATTAAATTATTTTTTAAATTTAAATCTATTTATTAATTAAAATTAAATAAAAATGAAATTTTATTTTATTTATGCATAATAAATGTTGAGCCGATTTTTATATTGGTTTTTCATCTAATCTAAAATATTAAACATCAAGTTTTTCTTTCTTTTTATATTGAAAATTTCTTGGAAAATTTCGTGAGTCAAATTTAAAAATAGTTTACATCAGAAGAAGAAATCGAAATCGAAATAAAAAATAAATTATCTATTTAAATACCTTTATTGCAGA